AAAGACATAGAACATCTTTAAGGATTTTTGTGGGGGGGGGTGCACACGCACACATGTGTGTGTGTGCGCATGTGCATAAAGGAACCTAAAGAGGCTCTAAGAGGATTCCAGGTCCCTTGGAGTTCAAGTTGAGTTACAAGAAATTGTATGCCACCCACTGTGAGTAAAGGGAATTAAACTTTGGCCTCTGCAAGAGCAACAAATGCTTGATCCCTCTCTCCAGGGATGACACAGAGATTTTTTAAAGTGCACCTAGTATAGGAACCACTGATCTCTGGTAGGACACAGAGGGCGTATGAAAGAATGGAAGATACAGCTGAAGGGATGGGGGAGACCAGAATCTAGGGAACTTTGCCTCAGTAAAGTGGTTAGAACCCTTGGCAGCTGTGAGACCTTCATGGACGAACATGAAGACCCTTTTGGTCAGAGTGAGTGAGATAATGAAGCCTGCTTAAGTGAGAACTCAAAGTACCTTGACCTTAATTAATTATACATGACAGATGAAGAAAAAATAACTATCGAAGACGCTTGCAAAATTTCTAGCCAAAAGCTTAGTGATCCTATTTACCTTGAAAGAAAATCTGTGAGGATAATTGGGCCCTGGTAGAAGGAAGAAAAATTAAGAGTTCATTTTAGATATTGTGAAACTTGAGGCACCTGGCGGACATGCAGGTGGAAGTGGAGATGTCCTGTAGCAGTCGGATATATAACTATGAAGCTCAGGAGACAGGTGTGAGCTGATAGCAGAGATTTGGAAGTCATCAGTAGTGGGCGCCTCGGGAACCCTTCTGCAAGTCAGATGATCACAGATACTTCTATATTTTGGAAATCCAAACTTTTCCAAGTAATTTTTGTTTTAATCAAAACTGTAATCTATGTATTTCTTTAAGCTCAAGACTGGATACTGCTTAGCTGTTCTTTACTGTGAACTATTGGGCCACCTATTTCAAGTGGTGACAATGTAAGAGGTAGTTTATCCAGGAGATTTTTTTCTACTTCCCCTTCCCAGGGAAATCCATGCATCCCTCTTTGGGACTTCCTTGTTATCTACAGTCAGGGAGCCTGAATGGGATCGACCAAGGCCCTCTGCATGTATGTGACAATGTGAGTGCGCATGTGTGTGTAACTTGATCTCTTAGTAAGGCTTCTAACGGTGAGAACAGGACCTCTCCCTGGTGCCTAACTGGATTTAGTAAACTGTTTCTCGTGCTGGATTACCTGGCCTCAAATTCACGAGATTTCCTGGGAAGGAGCTCTGTTCTGCCTCAATTTGGGGCACCATGCTCTGTGCAAAAACCAGAGGCCCTTTCCTTTCTGAATGGAGATGGAGGAGGAGTGGATGGGGAGGGGGTAAGTTGGAAAGGTGAGGTGACAGAAGCAGAGAAGGGAGGGAAACTGGTTGGTATGTAAATAAATGAAAAAAAGTTACTTTAAAAAAAGCTTAAAATAATTCTCTCCTGAAGACCCAGTTTCCTTGGCATTTCCCAACCCTGGGGATCTGGTCTGATAATCAGGAAAGGTTCCAATTTGTACACCAGCAGCAAATAACTGGACTCACACATATCTTTGACATATACCTTCATGCCAAGATTATAACACTTGCTTATAATTTACCCAAACGTCTTCTCTATGCTGATTTACACTTCTGAGCAGCTCTGTACTAACAAACTGACCCCACAGCCCAGTGCCTGTAACCTGTGTCTGACTAACCCTCCGTGTTGGAAGAAGCTGCTGTCACAACTGAACAGCGGGGGAGCTGCACTATGAAATCTTCCCCAGGCAGAGTATGCATATGCTACCTGCAAGACAAGAGTATTTTTAGGCTTTCCAGAAAGATTTCAAGAGTTTTTTTTTTTCTGAAAGGTTGTAATTAACTGCAGTGAGCAAAAGAGTATATGTTTTTTAAAAAAAAATAAATAAATAAAAGTGGGAGGAAAGGAACCAAGGAAAGGAAACCACCAGCACGGTTATGTCCAACCCATTAAGTAAGTGGGTTCCTGCCATGCAGGTGCTGGAGTTTGGGTGGAGGTGGGTGGAACACTGGGAAACCCAGTCCAAATGGGTCCAACAGAACCAGGAGCTAAAAGCGTGTTTTCTCCTATTGATGCTCTACTGCAAAAGCAGAAGCAGCTCCTTTCCCCACCTCTCATGACAAAGGTCTGTCTCCCAAGACAGGATCCTTGGCCTCTGAATACTGTGCCAGGGCCAAGCAGAATACACAGAGCACACTGTTCTTGGACATTTTCATTTCCAAGAACAGAGGAACCACAGAGGCTCCTACTCCTGCAAGCCTTTTCTCCTCTACACTGTCCTTCCTTCTTTTGCCTTCCCCCACACATGGATATGCCCGTGAGTTTCCTTGGTGATTTCTCCCATGATCTACTCCATGTGTTTAGTTTTATTTATAAGGTGGAATATTTTATTCCAAGAAAAGGGATTCAGAGTCACAGACAAGATGACAGTGAGTGAAATCAGTCCCCAGAATAGTGTTCTCAGGGCCTTGCAGGCAAGATTCAGGAAGCAGTCCCATTGAAAGCCCATAGAAATGGAAGGGAAGTCAGAAGACTCAATCAGTTCTAGCTTGGCACCTTACAACACTAAGGTAAAGTCTGATCCGATCTGCATGCCACCAGTGATGAGGTAGGGAGAGCTATCCCCACCTACACTCCATCTCTTACTTGCTGGCTAGGCCATGGGGTCTATGTCTGAAAGGGTGACAAGACTCAGCGTATCTCCATCACCAGAGGAGGATTGCCCTTTCCACCTAGACTCACCCTGTAACTGGAGGTTTCTCTCCTGCCCACCAGTTCCTGAATCACCACACTGAGGCTTAATATTAATTACAACTGTTTGGTCTATTATCTCAGGCTTATTATTAACTAGCTCTTACAAGTTAAATTAACCCATTTCTATTATCCTATATTTTACCATGTAGCTGTTGTGTTACCTCCTGTCTTGCTTCTCCAGTGGTTGCCAGCATCTCCCTGACTCCACCCTTTCATTCCCTACCTCTCTTCTTCGAATGCCTACTATATTCTGCCTGACTATGGGCCAAATCAGCTTTTTCTTTTCCTTCAAGACAGGGCTCCTCTGTGTAAAGCCCCAGCTGTTCTGGAACTCACTGTATAGACCAGACTGGTCTTGAACTCACTAAGATCCACCTGTCTCTGCCTCCTGAGTGCTGGGATTAAAGGTGTGCACTACCACCACCCGGCCGAATCAGCCTCTTTATTAATAAATGGTAATAAGACATATTCGCAGCATACAGAAGGTCATCCCACATCATCACCCATAATGACAGCTCTTCCAGTCCTAACAGAGGTCAATTGTGCCGGATGATTTTATGTCAACTTGATATAAGCTAAAGTCATTTGGAAACAGAGAGCCTCAATTGAGAAAATACCCTCTTAAGATTGTGTTGTAGGCAAGCCTAGAAGGCATTTTCTTAATTAGTGGTTGATAGGGGAGGGTCCAGTTCATTATGACTGGTGGTCCTGAGTTCTATGAGAAAGTAGGCTAAGCAAGCCATGAGGAACAAGCCAGTAAGCAGCTCCACTCCATGGCCTCTGCATCAGCTCCTGCCTCCAGGTTGCTGCCCTGTTTGAGTTCCTACCCTCACTGTTTTTGATGATGTAGAACTGTGATCAAAATAAACCCTTTCCTCCCCAACTTGCTTTTGGTCATGGTGTTTCATCACAACCATAAAAATCCCAACTAAGACAACCAGCATGTACATAGGAGGAACCTGTTCAATGTCCAAGAACACAAAGGCAGTGTATCTCTGCCCAGGGGCACCATCCTGGGGTCATAGTGGACTATTGGTCTCAATCAAGTCTTGCCTTTCTTATAATGCAGTGGAAACAGTCTCCATTTTGTTGCTGTGTACAAGTTGCCTGAGATTTTGGATCCATCGTGCATCTCTAACACTCATTCTTCTCTCTATAAAATGTCAATCTTAGAATAAGATACTCTGAGACATTCCCACCTCTACCCCAAGGTTGGCAATTATGAATTCCTCTGTTCCTTGGAACTGAGTTCACTCAGTATCATGATTAGCTAATCACTTCCCACTTCAGGTAACTGCGGACTTCAAAGCATGAACATATTCAATGGGATTTACTAGATTCCAGAGAAGTGTATACTTTGGTGTTCTGATTCTGCCACTCCTTTCTTTTTGGGTTAAAGCAAAATGAGATAAATCATCATTTGGCAACTGAAATTAAGGAATGAATAAATAAATAAATGATCCTTGCTAACAGAAAGCCAGTAAAAGTTTATAAAATCTAAAGTCACTTCTTGGCTCTAACATGTATTGTGAGAAACGATGGTAAGCACTCTGAATCTGTGATGTTCTCCTCAGCCATGCAGTCCCCACCTGCCCCAAGTGCCCACTGCTTTCCCTGTATCTGTCTGACCACTGCAGACCCCAGACTGGAACTATTTATTAGTCTTTGTTATCATTTCCTTCCTGACTCTAAGTTCCCTGAGGACAAATCTGCGCTGTGTTCACCATTGTATCCTTCAGGGTCTAGCACAGAAGTAGCAATAACAACAGTGTCGTAGTTGCAAAGCCTCCTAGTGCACACAAAACTTCAAGAACTAATGATGTTTGGGTTTTCCATGCTCACTAAAGCTTGGTAAACATGGTAATACTCTCTTCACAGAGAAAGAGCTGAAGTTCACAGCAATTATGTAACTTGATCAGCTAGTGAAATAGAGATGGACATAAATCAGGGATGTTCTTATGAGAGTTCAGAACTTTCTGTTGTTGTTGTTGTTTTAATGGATGGATGAATGGGTGCATGGGTGGGTGGGTGGATAGATGGGTGAGTGATCCAAGGAAGTAGTTATCAGTATTCTGCACAAGCTGAAAAGAAGACACTCATATTCTAGGAGTCTCGTCAAAGTTCCTAAGCACCCTGCTCTTGGGGAGGGAAAGGAACCTTTTTCTATTCCTGTGGATGATTCAGTCAGTGGCTAACCCTACCTCCCTCCTACAGATTTTGACAGTATCAGGACCACCTGAAGGAGGGACTCGTGTGACCATCCATGGAGTGAACCTGGGCTTGGACTTCTCTGAGATCGCTCATCATGTGCAGGTGGCTGGAGTGCCCTGCACACCGCTTCCAGGGGAATACATCATCGCTGAGCAGTGAGTCCACCTTGCTGGTTTCGTCCGTGTGAGCTTCAGAGTGGAGAGTCTCTGTGCTTCCTTCTCTGGGGCTTCCCCAGGCACTTTTCACATCACTTCCTCCTGTGGAAAATGCCCCAAGAGGTCTTTCCAGCATGGTTCTGCCCTCAGAGGGCCTTGTTCCAGTTGCTTCCCTGTACCTAGTCTCCTCAGGCACGAGGGTGCCAGGTGTCCATGCTGTCCCTCATTTAGTCTTTGCCTGCCTGCTGGCATGAATGTTGAAAGCCCCTCTGGGACCTCTTGGCCCCTCCTCCTAGCCTAACCCCATTGAAATGCATCCTACAGGGTAGGCTGTGGGCAACAATTTGTTTCGTGCATGGGGCTCTGACAGCAGCTTAATCTGAACAGGGCCTCCACTGGAGCAGATTCATTTATTTCACTAAGGGAAATGTCAGCTGGAAATTAGAAAATAGGCATGTAGTGGCGGGCAGGCGGCCGAGCTCAGGAGTGACATATGTTCCAATGTGGGGTGTTCCCTAGGCACTGGATACTATAGTCTGTGAGTTGGTGGACAGGAAGTAGGCTAGAATCTGGGGGTGAGAAGAAGGGGTAACAAGGGAAGGGAGCCACTAGATCCTTCTTCATGGTTTGTCATGTGACATTAGGTCAAGGTCTCCTTCATCCCCTGAGTATCCAGCTCTGTGTGTTTCAGGAGCTAATGAGAGCTTGACTTGAACTCAGGCTTTTCTCCCCTACCCTGTTCCTATGCAGCCTCAGGCTTCTCTGAGAGTCATTTCTCAATGGCAGCCATAAAAATGACATCACTTTATTTTCCACCAACAATTTTTAGTTTACAGGACACTTTCTCTCTCTCTTTTTCTTTTTATAAAAAAAATTATTCTAACCTCTGGCAAGTAAATTATTGTAAAAGCTGGCAAGATCAAAAGTTGGGGCAACATGAAATGATTTTTCTCCAGTCACTTGGGAAGTAAACACTATGGGAGAATCCAACCCTAAATCTCCTAACTCCTAGTTCAGGCCTGTTTCCCTGACACAGCAACCATGGGCCACATCACCTGGGCAAGGGAGGCCTGGGTACTCCATGACTCATCTGTCACCCATGGCTCTGAACCTCAAAGGACCTTGATTAGAATCTAGCATAACTCAGAGAAGAATCAGTGGAAGAAGGGATAAATTCCCAGACTCTTGGGGCTGTGTAAGAACTCAACAGGTAAGGAGGAAATAAAGCTGGCCTGATCCCTCCAATTCCCTAGGTCCTGTTCTTCACTGACAACCTTATCTCATAAGGAATGAACTTTGAGGGAGTGGTGGCTAGGCCTATAGAAAAGCCATCAGGAAGGCATCAGTATGTCTGTGGATCCACATTAGAAGGTAAACACTTTGGGAACCAGGACTATCTGCAGGAAGCCTCATAGTCACATGGTCTAGAGTTCTGTGCCCTGCCAGACTGCACCAGGCACTTGGCCACACAGACTCCAAATCCACCTAAACCTCAAGATACTGCCATGGTCTCACTTGTGGGGTCTTCTTGTTGGAAGACTCAGACTTTGGGGTAAGGAGTGTAAACTGTGAGGCAGCTGGACCCAAAACTTTCCCAAAACTTGAATTAAATCATTTTGACATTGGCTCCTCTGCTAGCCAAGCCCGGAGACTTCAGCAAGCCATTTAGTCTTTAACCTTAATCTAATGGACTGCTAGAAATTTTAGTTCTGTTTATGAAATCAAGTATAATTCTTGACCTAGGACTGTGGGGAAAAAAATACCCAAATGAACTGGAAGCGTGGTTGTCAAAAAACCTTGGGGACTCAGTCATTCCAGGCATGTTGAGGTCAATGGTGGCCCTTGAAAACTGCCCTTTCCTTGTCTCAGCCACAGAATAGGCAGGAAGCAGTGAACAACACCCAACCACCCCGAGCCTCACTGGTCACAGCCTGGTTTCTAGCTGTGCCAGGCTCATTACCACTCCTAAGGTTCCAGAGTTCGTTAACATTATTAAGCCTCCATCCTAGGCAATGAGCAGCAGGTGCAATCATTACAGATGTCTGCAAGAGATGAATTTGGCTAACTGGGCTCAGTACAGAATCCTGGGCACAAGCCGGATTAGCGGGTGCGGTAATGATTCACCATATGCTTGTGTCTGCTATCTATCATCCCACAATTAGGTTAATATTGGTTTAAAGGCCCTGATTAGTCCTGCAATCAATGCCCCACATGTCTGTGCAGGGCAAAATGATTTAGCCATAGGACATTTTCTGGGCAGTGGAATGCAGGTTCAGATTTCAACTCGGCATCTCCAGAGACAAAGGCTTGCTCTCTCTGTGAACTCAGACACCTCTGTATGGGTACTGGATCTCTGTGCTTCAGGAAATGAGCCACCATGTCTGTGGGAGATGGTGTGGTATAGGGATAATAAGAAAACTGAGCTGGTGCCAGGAGCCTGGGGTGGGGGGCAGCAAGCTATATTTCAGGAACAGCTGATGTGTACAATCCCCCCAAGTGGTCCTCAGGAGGCAAGAGCAATCTGACTCACAGAATCTGCAACACTCACCCCCCAACTAGGAAATTTATCGGCGGCACTAATATGATTCCAGAAGACTTCTGTCAATTAATAGTCAAATCTTCAAATGGAAACTGGACAGTTCTTTGACCGAACTTACTTTATAAGGGTAAAATTTTATCATTGCAAGTCATTGCCTCCTAATAATACATAGGGAACCTAGGAGCAACCGGGAACACAGAGGACATGTAAATTGGGTAGCCTCCCAGAAATTAAACCGGATAATATAAATGGGGCCTGGGGAGACAGTAATATATAACCTATTTCCTGTAGTGGTCCACAGCCAAGAAGAAGAGACATCAAGTGACTAACTCTCAGAGCCTTAGGAAATGAGTGGGGTTGTCTCCTATATTTGCCAAAATCTTCAGTCACTACCACAATGTCTGTGCTCCCCCTCCCTTAAAGTATCCAGAGCGTTCTATTAAATCCATCATCTGAGACAGGTGTGATGACACTTGTCTGTAGATCCAGCTACTTGGGAAGCTGAAGCAGGAGTACTGCTTAAATCCAGAAACTTGAGCCCAGCCTGGAAAATGTAGTGAGACTTTGTCCTAGATAGATAGATAGATAGATAGATAGATAGATAGATAGATAGATAGATAGATAGATAGATAGATACATACATACATACATACATACATACATACAAACATATATACATACTTGATAGATAGATACATAAATAAATAGATAGATGCTACATAGATACGTAGATAGATACATAGATACATAGACACTTGGATAGATACATAGATAGATACATAGGTAGATACATAGATAGACAGACAGGCCCCAGTGTCCACAAAATGGAGTGATCAAAGGCACAAACTTCAGATTGAGGCTCACCTGTCTTTCAGTCAGGACCCCTCCACTTGCTGGAATGTGACCCTAAGTAAGCCATGTAGCATCCCTGTGTCTTGGTTGCCTTTAAGTCTGAAATAATAAGACCCTTCCTGGAGCACAGGATTGATGTGTCATGGGGTTCCATCTTGTAGGCTGCCTTTACTGTCAGCAGCGATAGCTCTTGTCATTAAGTTATATATTCTACTGTGGTATAATCCTTCTTCTTCTCTATAGCCCTTTCACTTCTGTAGCACCCCTAGTTCTGTAGCTCATCTCCCTGAGCTAAGGCAGGCATCCTATGAATACTCATGTCCTCTACACCCCACCAGATCAGGTTCACAAGTGAAAGGAAAAGAGGGAGACAGTTCCATTCCATTCACAATGTTGCTTGATTTCCTGAAAACTCCAGTCTGACTCCTCAGACATGGCCATGCAGACCCTTGTGCATAGCCTGCTGCTGACCTCAACCCCCTCCCTAGGCACTCTGCAGATGAGACAGAGCTCAGCTGCTACATGAGGACACCATGCCTCATTCCCGTTCAAGCATAGAATTCAATACTCAGTTCAGACACTAGGGTTGGCCCAATCTCTTCTATCTCTCTTCTCCCAGGTGCTCCATGCATAAAGCTTAGCTTTTAGAACATGAACACCAAGCAAGAAAATGTTCAGAACCTAGAAAGACATTTCAAAGCCCAGCCCATTCCTAAGCCTTCTGTGAACTGTTGAATGGGGCAGGCTAGACCTTTCTCTGAAACAGGCCCAAGAGTAATAGTTCAGTCTTTCCCATAACTTTCACATGTCCTCCAACCTCCTTTTTCCACAATGATTTTCTTCCTGTGCTGGATCTCTCCCACAGAGTGTACCCAGGCCAGGAAGGAGGAAAGAGCCAGACCTTGATCAGAAGAAATGGAAAGACTCATCTGCTTCCCAGTCCTCACATTCACTGTGCCCCAGAATTAGCTGACTCTTCAGAGTTCTTTCAGGGGTCCAAGGATGACTGTAGAAAGTCAGGGACCCCAAAACAAAAGCAAGGTCCAGCACCAAAATACAGTATTTGGGTTGTTACTCCAAGCAAGTAGCAACATGAAAATTAAGAAACACAGCACCTTAGATTAAGCTTCTCAGATGCTTCCTAATGAGGTTTAAGGAGAGGACAACATGCTAAATACTAATTGACTGTTACTGTCATGCTTATGTGGGTTCATAATTAATTTACTTATTCATAGATAAAGTAAAGGGAGAACATTCTTCCATGAAGTGCTTTCTTGTTACATCTTATGTGCTAAATGTAGTAAGATGGTTATTGTATGCTAAGTAAATATTTACCAGGAGTCAAAGTGCTTATTGAGGATTGACTGTTGTGGAGAAGATGGAGACCAGTGGCATGGTGTGGTGTGTGTGTGTGTGTGTGTGTGTGTGTGTGTGTGTGTGTGTGTGTGTGAGAGAGAGAGAGAGAGAGAGAGAGAGAGAGAGAGAGAGATCCATTTCATGCAAGTTTTATTACATTGAAATGAAATCAATGTTTAGTTACCTTCTTTCCTAGAGAAACTATTCAGATAAGCATTGCTCTGTTAAACACAGGTCTTCCCACTGTGCCAGGATAATACAGGAGATTAATGAGGAGGGAATTTGCTTTCCTGACTCCCCACTAAGCAAGCTTAGCATAGACACTGCTCTTGCAATCTGAAATGGTGTTAGGAGGCAAGAAGAGGCTTTCTTTCCTCCTTTCCTGGCCTCCTATTTGCTGAGATTAGGAGGACCCTCTCCTGCCTACTCCAGTATTTCAGGCAAGGACCCTCCCTCCCCCAAGTCTAATTTCCTCAATCCTACCCATTCCCTGCAACCCACCCTTTCTGTAAGGCATTGTGACTTAAAGGGCCAGTGTTTTAAATGTTCTGTAACTTGTCTCAGGAGCCAGGGAAATCACCAGGGGGTATTGATCTGAGCTGCAGAGAAAGTACAGAGCATCTTCCTCCAGCCCACCTGCCAGTGTGAGATGTGACTTCTAACCAAGGCCATGTCACCCACTAAGTATGTTCAGACTTGATTAAGTGTCACTTGGCACCTAATGAACTCAGCCACCACCACCATTTTACCCACTTCCAGGGGCCTGCACTTCTGCCATTGTGCTGGGAGATGCTGTTTGGCTGCTCACATTATCTTACCAGATTATCTAGCCCCGTTGAAAACTCACTGCAGGAAAGAGACTACAACCTAATCAGCCAGTGTGACAAATAGTCACTCACTTGTGCTCTTAGGGAGAGCTGCTATGTTGTTGGCTTGCTGCATAGCAGAAAACACCAACTAAGTACTGCCCGTCTATGACTTATTCCACCAATCCTAGAAATGATCCATGGTGAGACCCTGCACTCGATGCTCATGGGGATGGTAGTAGAATTAAGCTACATGGTATATCAGAAGCACCCACAGCTTTTTATATACAATCACATCTAACTTCTCACTGTGTGGATGAGATGAAGCCCAGGCGGCCAGAACTATACCAGTGGTCACATGGGTATTAAACTGAACCATGGTCTAGCACTGTAGCAAGACAGTGATCACCGTTTGACAAGGGTCACTCGCTGATGGCTGAGCAAATGACCTGCGATTGTGGCCTTGTCAAGCCTCTCACTGGAAGGTGTGCTGTCTTCTCAGGATTGTCTGTGAGATGGGCCACGCCCCTATGGGCGCTACATCTGGGCCTGTACGCCTGTGCATTGGGGAATGCAACGAAGAGTTCATGACAAATTCCCACCAGCAGTACACTTTCGTGGTAAGTACTGGGACCAAGGCTGACCACAGAGGCAGCAAGGACACACATTTGCTCCAGACTTCTAGAAAAATCTCATATGCCCCTCCCAGCCAGGCAGATCTTGGCAACCAATAAAAGGGAATTTTTTGGCCTTCCTGCTTAGAAGCCTGTCTTTTTGGAGTTAAATAGTCACTTGTGACTTTAAGCAAACCAGTGAGAAACCAGAGACTTTGACGTCCCAGAGTCCCAGAGAACTATATAGTTCAGAGTTCTAAATGAGGCTTTCTTAGAAAAAGGATTCTAGATTCTAAATGGGTTCTCTATTGTTTCTCCAGTGTGACATTGTTGCCTAATTTCAGCCTAATGAGGATACACAAATTAACTAATTTATATTTATGCATACCTCTGTGCTCAAGACCAGGAGAAGGAACATAAAAGCTGACAGTTCTATGTGTCCGTATTGTTACACATACACATGAACCTCAACCAAAGACATTTCATTGTGCTCAAACAACAGGCAGTTTTGGTATCAAGGCTTTCTGTGAGGCTGGCACTAAACTCATGCCAAATCAATAAATTGTTTCTGAGGCTCTGGAGTCTACCTAGGTTCAATTCGTCCTGAATCAATACATTGTGTTGGGACCCTTAAGTCCCTTTTCTAAAACTTACCAGCCTCTCCACATTGAGTACTTCATTAAAAAGTGTTAAGGACAGCGAATTGGGTCAAATCAGCCTTGCTAAGAGTGTTGAAAAATCATTAAGCCACAAAATTCTCTTCCCCTAAAAGTGTTTTACTACCTTGTCTAGAGCTTCTAGGCCCATGTTCTCATTTTGGCATTGCTACCTTTTCCCTTGTACTTTTCTCTCAGATTGGCCTGTCTGCAGCCACTGTACCTCATTTCCTTCCCAGGGGACGTGGGGAGCAAAAAGAAAAGATAAAACAGGAAGAGAATTGTAAATTCCAGAACTGGGAAGGGCCCTAGGGCCCATTTTACTTTCCTCAATGAACAAGGGAGCAAACTGAAATTCAGAATAATCCCATGACCCACCTCAGGGCCATGGATAGTGAAGATCTGGTACAGATTAGAATCCACTCACTAAATTAAATTCACTTCCCAAGCTATGTGTGGTGCCCTGTGCCTTTGATCCCAGCCCTCAGGAGGTGAAGACAGGAGGGTCTCACTCAAAGTCAAGGCCAACCTGAGTTAACAAGATAACAAAAATATAAACAAACAAAAAAATTTTTCCATACCACTGCCCACTAGGCAGAAGCAGTTCTTTCTGGTTTAGGTCAACTTCTTGGTGTGTAATAGGCTAGAAAATTTTTTTAAGCTGTAGCTTAATGTACAACTTAGTGAGCATGCTAGCAAATGATAGCCTCATCCACCAGTAAGGGTCAGAATGGCCATGTTTAACATTTATTGATGGTACCAGAAGTCCTCAGTGCTTAGGGCAGGACAAGAGGACATATATATGGACCATTCATAGAGGCTACAGTCTATCAGCTGCCAAACTTAAGCAAGAACATTTTACTCAGTCCTATTGATTTTGTGCCAAAGAAATCAGGATAGACTCTATATTAAGCAGCATTTTCAAATTGTTTTCAATTTTCAAACTAATTGATAAATTAGTCAGTGTCATGTCAGCTTCCCCTTCAGTGTTAGGAGTACAAGACTCCCCAGGGAGTTAATTAATCCCAATGTATGGCATCCCTTCATCTTCCCTGAACAGCCCTCCAGACAAGGCAGTATGTTTGAAACGACAAAGGACAGGAAAAGTACCTTAGCTCTCAGGATGATGATTATCCCTCTTACTGTTAGGTCTAGCCTTGGACCTAAGCTGTGAATATTTCTCTTCTTTTCAAAGAATCCTTCTGTGCTGTCACTCAGCCCCATTCGGGGACCAGAGTCAGGAGGTACTAAGGTAACCATCACAGGCCATTACCTTGGTGCTGGGAGCAGCGTGGCAGTATACCTGGGCAATCAGACCTGCAAATTTGATGGGTAAGTTAAACTTGAAGAATGATGTGTTGTTGTTGCCTTGGCATGCTTATTGCCTACTTGTCATTGGTCCTTTCCTTGGCCCAAACAATGACCTATACCAGCCATTGTTAGAAATGTATGCCACTTACCAGTTTATGTCCCATAGATCAGAGGAGTTGGTAACATCTATAGGGAACTGGAAGGAAGGGCTAGCAGAAGAGTTTAGGAAAGATTCCTGTAGCTTCCAGGCTGAGTTTCACTGTAGGGACTTGGGGCTTATGGAGGTCACATGGTCTCATCAAGTTAAGGACAAATTTGTCCTCAGGATGAGCTCCTGAGCATTACAACACACAAATGAAAAAAATCTAATATTGTCAGCCCATGAACCCATGAACTATAAAGATACAGACTCCAGAAGAATTCTGAAGAAATCTATGGGCGAGGCCCCAGTTTGCCCAATGTTGACCACCTGAGAGTTTTTTACTATTAACTCTGCAAGAGAAAGCCCCACGAGTTTATCAACAATAGGGAGCCAGTATTATGTGACTATGTATTGACAACCTAACTAGAGTCTAGATTCTAGAAAAATCCAGAAAAAAGAGTTCTCCAAAATCCTGTAGAGCCTTGTATCAGTCCATGTTCTCTAAGTATCCCTTCTACTGTGCTCTCTTCCTAATCCAGCTAAGGTAGCAGGAAAGTACTAATGGACACTAGTGAAGGGTATTTCTTTAGCACAGAAAATAAGAAAGCAGCATTATGTGTCATGGACCACACATGGGATAAGGAACATGTCTTTCAAGATAGCTCATGCCCATCTCTTTTTTCTTAACCCTTGTCTGTTTCCCCATCAGGAGGTCCATGAATGAGATTTTCTGTGTTTCACCCCCATCCTCCAATGGACTGGGACCAGTCCCTGTCTCCGTGAGTGTTGACAGAGCCCGGATAGATAGCAGTCTGCAGTTTGAATACATAGATGACCCTCGGGTCCAACGCATTGAGCCAGAGTGGAGCATCACTAGGTGCGTGAGATTGGAGAGGTACATCTGGAGGGATATGAGGTTGATGGGACACATCCTCTGAAGGACAGTGAGGATGGTGGAGTGTATCTGGAGGGAGGTGAGGTTAACAAGACTCGCCCAGAGGGAGAAGAGGTTGCAAAGGCCCTACAGACCAAGCGTGGCTCATATCAGGTTTCCCAATGGTTGAAGCTCACCGTACCAAATTTAAGGGGGTTTTACTTAACCTAGCTTCTGCTTGTTCCCAGTGGCCACACACCGCTAACCGTCACAGGCTTCAACTTGGATGTCATTCAGGAGCCAAAGGTCCGAGTCAAGTTTAATGGCAAAGAATCTGTCAATGTGAGTAACCTTTGGTCTTCTGTTCCCTGACCTCAGGAACCATGGCTCTCTGCCCACATCGTACAAGGCCAGGAGCTAGGCATAAGGCATTTGAAGACCTGACTCTGTAGTTATAGTTCCAAACAACTGAGCTTCCAAGAAACCAATAGGATAGTAGTATAATTTCAGAAGATGGTATAGCAGGGCTCTAAAAGGGCTGGCTGCTGAGTTTGACAGAGCACAAAAGGGTAATGCTCACTTCAGTGAAAATGTCCATTTAAAGGCTAAATGAGAAACAGTGTAGGAGATGGAAAGAAGTTCTTCCTCTACATTTAGGAATTTCTGTATTGGAAGCAAGACTCTACCATTTAAGAGCTATGTGGCTCTGATCAAGTCCTTTAACTTCTGGGATCCTGTGCTCCTCACAGGCTGAAAGACTTGCTTTCCAGTTTCAGAACGGGCCAGCCATGGAGTTAATGTTTTTACTAAATGTCAGCTACTGCAGACAGAGAATTCTGACCTGCTGGCAAGATGTTCACAGCTTCTGCCCTCCTCTGCATAGCTGCATAATCCATTTTAGCTATGGATTTCTGTGATTTTCAGAAAAGTTCTCTTATTCTGGTAAGAACAGAATGTCAGATAAGTTATTGAAAAGTTTCTAGTTTGTTCCTGCAGCACAGTCTTGCTCTTTTCAGCCATCATTTTGTGAACATTATTGTATTCATAATTATAGTACTGAACATGCTGTGATGACCATTATTATTACTATGAATTACTGCCATTACTCTGTGACCTTTGAGATATTGGTGAAGCTGAGATGGACATGCAAAATATAAAGTGATGTCTCTTGTCTTATCCCTGACACATATCCAGCCCACTGAATCTTCCTTGGAAAACAGAGGTGCACAAAATAATAGAATGCTAGGCTGGACCAAGAAATGCTTTGAAGATCATCAGGTTCCCACACCTACCTTGCATAGCAGAGAGACTTAGACCAGATGGGTAGATGACTTGCCTCCAGTCACAAGGTGATTTGAGGCAGATTCATGCTAGATTCCAGACTCTTCATAACTTGACCATGTGAGATGTTCATGGGACTGACTTCCCATCATGGTACAGATGCTCAGCAATTTTGCCTAGGTAAACACATGCTCCCTACCTCCAAGTACAGAATTTTCATTGAAAAAGTCTGGACCCTGTTTACCTACTGACATCTAAGTCTTCTCTGAGCTCCCAATCACTGCTGTTCTGTCAAGTTTCTGGGGCCCAGGCTGTTAGGAATAGGAGCCTTGAACTCACATCTAAGGTAGATAAACGCTCTGCTCTCAAAAAGTTAAATATGGTTTTTAAAATACAGATTTCCTTATCATTCCAACATGACCAAACAGAATGCAACTCACAGATCAATTCTTAAGAGAAGGGAGCCCATGCCAAGGCACCTAGTTCAGGTGCCCCAGGGTCAGAGGATTGATTTGTGTATGTCTGTTGCCTCTGAGACATGAGGCGTATGGTCGTATGACATGAGGTGGTTTGGGTGAGGGCTGGCTCTATCATTTGTTTCTAGAAACAAGGAATGCTGGCTGGTAGCAAGACTTTTGCTGTTTCATGGATTTGGACAAGCTAGAGAAGAGTCCCTCTCCAGTTAGCAGGATCAATATAAAAAGATACAAATATACATAAAATGAAATGTAAATATAGTATAGAGAGAATGCTGTGATGTTGGCATGAGGCAGACAAGGGACTCCCAAAAGCTACAACTCTCATCCTCAAGGAGAAAATACAGAGCAAGAGCTTCCTTCTTACCTAACATCCTGCAAAAGTCACAGGCCAGGTCTGGTCTCTCTCCCCTCCCTCTGGATTCCTCTACATCTTAAGGACTATCTCCTCACTGCCGCCATAGGTACACACAGTAGCTATGGAAATATGGAAATACTGCAGTATTTCTAGGAACTAAAATATTGTTCCACCATCTGGAAAGTTGTAAGGCCTTAGGCCTACATAGCGACCTGCCTGGATGGAAGGAGGTGTCCCTAGAATACAACTCCACAGCACTATGCCTCTGTTTACAGGAGGAGGAAAGGAAACGCTTTGCCCTTTTGGTCCATTTGGGCCCCAGCTTAGCCTTACCCTACCTAGGGTTATCATTTTCCTTGTGTTCCAAGCTCCCAGTAGTAGGGGAAAAGGCTGGCACAAAACCTCAAAATGCATAAGGTTGTTGACAAGCAAAGTGTGATGGAGAAGGGCAGGCAACACACAGAGCTCTCTTGTTTAGAACTGATTTTCTTATTCACACGGGAACCTCATTTGTGTCTATGGAAACCGGGCCGATAAGGAGGAAGATGCCAGAGCAATGGAGAATCACACTGAGCTGGGAGCCTTCCTTGTAGAACTAGAAATTTGATTCTAACTCAACTGTGCTTAACAGCACCTGTTGCTTTTCCTGTGCCTCAGTATCCCCAGCTGCACCATGACATGGACATTAAGTTGGAAAGGGGCTGCTGAAGTATACAATGAAAAGGACAAGAATGGAAACTGATCCCTAGCACAGCAGAGGGGCCGCCGGGAAGCTGCTTTGTGAGGGAGAGTTAAGGTTTAGATTTGAAGTTCTGATGTCATTTCTGTGTGTCAACTGATGTGGGACTCCCAGGAAATGAAACCTTCCACATTCAGCTCTTTACTGTGTGACTGTCAGCTGTGTTTCTGGTTCTAAAGCCTGAGTGTGTATATGTGGACCAGACACACACACACACACACACACACACACACACACACACACACACCCTGCTAGGCTGGAGAAAAGACAGAAAGATCCTAAGATCCCAAGCAGGCAGTCTCCTGTTTTCTTATCACTTTGTCCTGAAACATTAGATGAACACTATGCAAGGTGCAACCTACTCATCTCACCACTTCCTGCCCCACACCACACACCACACCACACACCACATACCACACTGACACATCACACACCACACACCACATTCCACACCACACACCGACACACACCACACACCACACCACACCACACACCACACCCCACACCACATACCACACCACACACCGACACACACCACACACCACACCACACACTGACACACACACCGACAACCCACACACATGTACCCCCTCAATGCAGCTGTCCTTTCCTTCGAACAGTCTCACATCCTCAACCCCAGACCTTCTCATGCTGTGCTCTTCACCTGAAGCGTGTCCCTACACTGTCTCTCTCTGGCACAGGGAAGCCTCCCATTCTTCAGATGAAGGAAATCTTTCATGAATGCTGCTTCAGGCCATGTGAACCCACAGACTTCCCAGAGCATCTGGTTTTCTCCACCAGAGTGTTCCTCACCCATTCATGCATTTCACAGTATCCTGCCCTGTGCTGCCTCAGGCTCTCTGTGGACCAGCTTATAATGCTTGTTTAATTAATCTAGAGCTGTCCCTCGAGACTACTTCATTGTGTGCACCAGACTCTCAGCCCAGTGTCTGCCAGAAAACAGGTGCTCAAAACAGTCAATGAATAAATGAGGGGATTAAAGGCATCGTCACCACATTGGTCTTGAGGGCCTTGCATGCCTTGAAGGAAGTCAAGCAACCAGAGGGTGAGAGGAGATGATAGACCCACCTTCACCCACCAGGTACTCAGAATGTGTCTTCCTGCCTCCTAGGTGTGCACAGTGGTCAACACAACCACGCTGACCTGTCTGGCACCTTCTCTGACCAGTGACTACCGTCCAGGCCTGGACACAGTGGAACGGCCAGATGAGTTTGGATTTGTCTTTAACAATGTCCAGTCCTTACTCATCTATAATGACACCAAGTTCATCTACTACCCCAACCCAACCTTTGAGCTGCTCAGCCCCACTGGAATCTTGGATCAGAAACCAGGCTCACCCATCATCCTGAAGGTAGGAAACAGGAATGGAGGGGAGAAGCCTGCATAGTGGTGGGAGAGAGTGCTGCAGGCCCTTCCCTCTGTAGGGAGTCTAAATCTCCAGGTGGTAGCATCCAGGAATTTTGTTGTACCCCACCTGCCCTTTAAATCCCATATGTCCTCCTCCACTCCATCTTTATTCATCCAGCCATTTTTCTTTCTTTCTTTCTTTCCTCCTTTCTTCCTTCCTTCCTTCCTTCCTTCCTTCCTTTCTTCCTTCCTTCCTTCCTTCCTTCCTTCCTTCCTTCCTTCCTTCCTTTACTTTCTTTCTTTTTTTTTTCTGGTCTCCTTTACTCTGTGGCTGGTTGAAGTCTCCCTTAAAAGATCATGATGGGGGGAAACCCACAGAGAAAGCTGACCTGAGCTAGTGGGAGCTCACTGACTCCAGACTCACAGCTGCAGAGCCTGCAAAGGACCTAACTAGGCCCTCTGAATGTGGGTGACAGTTCTGTGGTTGATCAGTCTATGGGGCCACTGGCAGTTATTTATCACTAGTGCATGGACTGGCTTTTTAGAGCCCATTCCCTGTGGAGGGATACCTTGCTCAGTTGTGATACGGTGGGGCTTGGTCCTGCCTCAGCTTGATATGACAGACTTTGTTGACTCCCCATGGAAGGCCTTTCCCCTTCTGAGGAGTGGTAGGGTGCAGATTGAGGAGGAACTCTGGTTGGTATGTTTAAAACAAACAAACAAAACAAACTTTTAAATAAAAAATTTTTAAAAACCTGACATGAAGGCATTTATTGATTTTTACATTGCTGCCCCTCTCTGGCTCCTTTATCTCTTTTTAAGTAGGCAATTAATTTCTGCTTGCATATGCCAATTCTCATTTAAGACACCTGTTTTTTTACAGGGCAAAAATCTCTGCCCTCCTGCCTCTGGAGGGGCCAAACTCAACTACACAGTAATGATTGGAGAGACACCTTGTGCAGTCACTGTGTCTGAGACGCAGCTGCTCTGTGAACCTCCCAACCTCACTGGGCAGCACAAGGTCATGGTGAGTGAACCCTCTTCTACCTCTTTCCTCTGCCCAGCCTTACCATGCATGCACAAAGAAAGATTCCATTTCATCTCATTGCCTGACTCATGCCCTCCACGTTTCCTCTTCTCCACGCCCTACGCTAAAATGGGTAGCAGTTGGGAACATAAATAGGAAGACAGATCCCAAGGCAGGAATTGCTTAGTATCCAGATATGAGCAGTACTGTTGTAGTCTGTCCTGTCGAGGCTGTGACGGCATGCCAGGGCTCTACACCTGTGTGCATTATGTGTGTCTGTATGTACAATGCGCAGGTTCACGTGGGTGGGATGGTGTTCTCACCTGGCTCGGTGAGTGTCATCTCCGACAGCTTGCTGACCCTGCCAGCCATCATCAGCATCGCGGCTGGTGGGAGCCTCCTCCTTATCATCGTCATCATTGTCCTCATCGCTTACAAGCGCAAGTCTAGGGAAAATGACCTCACACTCAAGCGACTACAAATGCAGATGGACAACCTGGAGTCTAGGGTGGCCCTGGAGTGCAAGGAAGGTGAGTGCAAGTATATCCTCACTTCCCAGAACCTTTCTTCTTCATTAATCTCATTACCCTTCTTACATATAAACCCTGACTTTATTCTTTATATTTTACTCTTGTTTTCCCATAAGCCTTTACATTTTGCTCTTTCCCAGGAGCTTCCCCTGTCCCTGGGGTTAGAGAAGACCTAGGGGAGACCCATGAGTGAGGAAACAGGTCTATTGGCATTGCTCACTCTCCCTGCTTTGCTCCAATCCAACTCACATTTGGCCAGCTGGCTCCCCTTCAGGACTTGTATGCCATCACAGTGAGAATTTGCCAGGCCTTACCGTCTCAGACCAGATTCTTTAATTGCCAGTGTCTATCCCTTTACTGATATTCACAGAGGTACCCTTGCACTCTATGGAACCCACAACAAGGAAAGTAGGAGAACCCCACCTCCGTCCTGGCCCATCATCTCCTAGGATTTGTTTTCTGTCACCATTATAGACTAAATGCTCCAAAGGCCATGCTTGTTGGCAGCCTTGGGTGTGAATGTGTGTAGGAGTGGAGATTGTGTTTCCTCTCATCTCCCACGCAGACACATCCACAGGGTGACATGTATACCTGGCATTCTCTCAGGATGAGGACCTGGCAGGCTGTCTGGGTAAACATCTTAGTTAGGAATCAAAACATTTTCCCTTTTGCTGCAAGTGGCTTTTCACAAGCAAGCAACCGTTGGACAATGGGGAAAATATTGTCCTGGAAGAGATGGATCAGAACCCTCCCACCTTCCTCAAACCACAGCACAAAGCCCGAAGAATTACCTCTGACCTGGAAAGCCAGGGAGACGCTTGGGAGCCCTCCATTGCCTGGAGTCACCTGTAGATTGAGCATTTGATAAGCAAGGCCTTCCGGGGTTGTCATATCTCGGTTCATCTTCCTAGGACAGAGATCAGTTTGCTATTCTGACCTTTGCCAAATTCCAACAGTTTTCCCCTTGCTTCTGACACCTCCAAAGGACCGAAGTCATGATACTCTCTTCTCTACATTTTAGCCACCTATGCAAATGCAGAAAAAACTACAAATAAGCATAGAAGACATAAAAACTGCCCAATTGCCCATCTCCTCATCACATTATGTTACCCAGATTTCATTTACTATAAGAAATCCTGGAGGTAATCACCTAGTAAATAAAAAAGAGGAGGTTTAGGAGGTAGCACAGTCACATGTGAAACTGATGCCTGTAACTCACATAAAAATATGTCGGGCATATGGCATGTGTTTATAATTCCAGCACAGGGAAAGCAGAGACAGGAGTATCTGTAGGACTCACTGGCCAGCCAGCTTAGCCTAAGTTGTGAACTCCAGGCTAATGAGAGCCTGTCTCAAAGGAGGTAGATTGTGTTTCTGAAGATGTCACATATCTATTCACCTGCATACATACACACATTTTTTTAAGTTATTTTGGCTCAGTTTGGAATGTTTCTGTGTCTTATTCAGTCCTGTTGTTACTAGGCCAATGGTAAGGCTGCATACAGTGGTTAAATTATAACCAAGAGAGATATCCAGAGTCTCACAAATCCTCTTCTCTAAGATCTCCCTCAGGTTCCACCTCTTTAAATTCCTACCACCACTAGTAGCTCTAAGTTGGGGACCATATCTTTGGGAGGTCCTTAAAATCCTAGAGTAAACAACTCACAGCAACAGTCTAGGGCTCCTTTCTCATCGCACCGTCTAACCTGCTGCCTTTGTACCCCGGTTTCCCTCCTCCTGCAGACAAACTTTTCTCTCTGTCCTCTCCCCTGAATTGAGCATCTTCTGAGCTTCCCTGTCTTCACCCACTCTCACAGCTTTTGCCGAGCTTCAAACAGACATTAATGAGCTAACCAGTGACCTGGACCGGTCAGGAATCCCTTACCTGGACTACCGCACCTATGCCATGCGAGTTCTGTTCCCAGGCATTGAGGACCACCCTGTTCTGCGGGAGCTGGAGGTACTGCTTGTTTTCTAATGATGCAGGCTAGGGGTTCCCAGGAAATCCAGGGGACAGGAGAAGGATGATGAGGGAAAAGGACCAGTAGTTTTAACAGCATCACAGCAGGACCACCAGAAAGGGTCTCATTGTTTGTCAGATTAAATGCTGAGTTAATTAAAATTTTGCCAAATCAGCATGGATTTAAGGAGGCTTTAAAATATGACCTTGAACTTATTCATACATTTGTTTGTTTGTTTATTCAAGAATGAGTCAAGGCAGAGGAAACTGAGGGGAAATAAAAAAGCAGGGGAAGTCCCAGTTGGGGGACGAAATGACTGCAGCCCTCCTGAAGAGGGTCTTACAGCAGGCACCATCACCATCAGGTCTTAGGGCCTGGGTAGACATCCAGAGCCTGCCCCCTGAAGGTCACCCTGCACACCCCAGGTACAGGGAAACGGACAACAGCACGTGGAGAAAGCCCTGAAGCTCTTTGCCCAGCTCATCAACAACAAGGTGTTCCTGTTGACCTTCATTCGCACACTGGAACTGCAGCGCAGCTTCTCCATGCGTGACCGCGGCAATGTGGCTTCTCTCATCATGACAGGCCTCCAGGGCCGCCTGGAATATGCCACAGACGTCCTCAAGCAGCTACTGTCTGACCTCATCGACAAGAACCTGGAGAACAAGAACCACCCCAAGCTTCTTCTCCGCAGGTCTGACCCGCAGCAGGGGAATGGCAGTTACAGACAGGACATCTTGTCAGATAGACCCCGGATGTCCTCACCCCCCAGAAATAGCTTCCCTGCAGAGCTGCTTGTGCCCTCCTATCAGCCCAGTATGGAATGTGATCTTCCGCTGGTCCTGGGAAACCAGGTGGCTTCCAACCCAAGTGCATAGCCCTGTCTTGGGACTCAAGACAAATGCTTTTCCTACCGCTTGTCTCTATGACCTCACACCAGGGGAGCTTGTCTCTTAGTCTATGCCCTTCCCTCTGCTTCTAGAGCTGTGTGCCCCAGCGTGGTAGCCACTATTAACAAAAATGAAATGTACACTTTAATTTCTCCATCTCGCTGGACACATTCCCAGTATCTAGACATCCTGTATTTGGTGGCCACCATATTGGACAACACAGGCTAACCATTTCCTATCATCATACTTAGATCTGATAGACATGCTGGGCTAGAGGTTGGGAGCAGGTCTGAGTCCCAGCTTCCTGGCTTGGAATTGCTAGCATATACCAACTGCCTGATTTGCCACTTTTCTGGCAGGGCACAGATTTTAGAGACCCTCTGTCTCCTGCTCCCACCCTCAGTTGAGGTCATGGGGTACCAGATCTAGAGCTCTGAGCAGCAGGGGTTGAATCTGTCGCCTCCACTCACTCTTCCTGTACCTTTGCTCACAGGTCTTGGGTTTTCAGACCCCACATGGGTGGCTTTGTTTTATAAGCATTGAGCCCTCATCCTGCCATTCTGAGCTTTGGAAGCTTTCATTAAGGACTGTTGTATTTAAATTAGAGCTAATCTCAAACACAATGCTGGGAGAGGGTGCTGGGAGGGCCCAGAGAGAAAGCTGCAATTTCTCCTGCCATTGTCACTCTCTACCAGCCCTGATTGCTAAGCAGTCCTGGCAAATGCCTGGGGTTTACTTCAGCCAGAGGGTATAATTTGCACCACGTGTGGGGAGTTAAAATACCCCTTGGCATCCCCATCAACAAGGTCTGTCACAGTGCTTTGGCTTTGTTTCTTCCCAAATTCCCAGACCTGGAGCCTGGGGTGGGGGAGGGGAAGGAGGTGGTGCTTACAGAAACAGATCCCCCTGTTGGCTAAACTCTTGAGCATTGCTCTCTACCTGCAGGCCTAGAGGGCACATAAACTATACAGTACTAATCATTTATATTTACACAGTGTTTTACTGTGGAGCCAGATGTTACCTTTTGCATTTTCAATATGTTAACCCATTCAACTCTAACAATTGAAAGTGTGAATATCATAACTGTGTGCATGTAATGATGGGGGAAAAAATGAACTCAAAGAAGTCAAATGATTTGCCTGAGGTTATACAGCCAGTAAATAATATAGTCTGGATTTGAACCAGTGGCAACCTGTATTTGGAGAGGCAGGTACCAAGCATGCACCACAGAGTATTTGAATATGCAGAAACCACAGTAGAACAGACAGATACCATTCATGACCATGAGACCAGACTGGTCATTACAGCCTGAGGGATAAGGATTTGCAGCCCACACCAGGTGTCACCAACAGTCTGTGGTTCCACAGAGCAGCAAGGATGAAATATCCTGACTTTCTAGAGTCTCAGGAAGCTGAATCCTGGGAACTTCCCACTAAGTATGGAAAATAGAGCACTCCTGGGCACTCCTGGCCAGTCCCCCTTCCAATTATTTCTGGTTTGGTTGGGTTGCCGGGGTCCAGTCTTAGCCCTGTGCTCTCTTACACACACAAGCCTAGATTACCACCAGACCCCTGTGAAAAGGCTGTTTCTCCACCCCTCTTCCTTCTCCAGGACTGAGTCTGTGGCCGAGAAGATGCTGACCAACTGGTTTGCTTTCCTTCTACACAAGTTCCTGAAGGTAAAAAGGGGGGAGTGAGCGGGGCCAGAGTCAGTCACATACCCTGGCTTTAGAAACACGGGGACTTGCCCCTCAGAAGCAGGGATTCCTTGATGTGGCTGATGTTAAGCAAAGCAGGCCTGGGGTTCTCTCCCCGGGCTGCAGAGGAAGGTTCAGGCAGGGTCTGAACTCTCTACCCTGATATGCCTACAGGAATGTGCTGGGGAGCCACTCTTCATGCTATACTGTGCAATCAAGCAGCAGATGGAGAAAGGCCCCATCGATGCTATCACTGGTGAGGCCCGCTACTCCCTGAGTGAGGACAAACTCATCCGGCAGCAGATCGAGTACAAGACCCTGGTGAGGAAGTCAAAAGTGGCTCCAGCCCCAGTACCACCTGTGACTCTCCCTACTCTACCTGCTAGCCCATGAGGCCATCTAGCCAAAAAGAGGCGTAGGGATCAATCTGGGGCAATCCAAAGGGCATATCAAGTATATGAAGGTCAAGGCAGACCTTTCCCTCATCTTAATTAGTGAGCCAAAAGAGCGGCGTGTGCCTCAGTTTACCCTAGATGATATTGAGCGAGAAAAAGTTCACTCACCATTAGAGACTGCATAATTAGCAAGGAAAGAAAGCAAGTGTGCTGGTATCTAGTTTAAAAGCTTTGAGGACATGTGAGGCCAGCCCTTGATGCCTGTGGATCTATCTTGAACCTTCTCAAGTGCCTCACACCGAGTTTACCTTCCCCCAACCCGTCTAGGAAGTAGATTCCCTTTTTCTTGAGAAAGGATTAACATTTTGACTTCAGCTCTCACAGTAGATGGCAGGAAGAAAAGGAAGAAACAAAGTCTCAGGACAGAGATCCCCATTCTTTTTATAAGGAGAATAAACCTTGGAAGAAGATTCTGAGGCCTCAGCTTCTTCCCACGCTACTTCCCAAGTTTGCCCAGCTCACCCTGGATTTCTCTATTTACAGATCCTGAATTGTGTCAACCCTGACAATGAGAACAGCCCAGAGATCCCAGTGAAGGTGTTAAACTGTGACACCATCACCCAAGTCAAGGAGAAGATCCTCGATGCAGTATATAAGAACGTTCCCTACTCCCAGCGGCCAAGGGCTGTGGACATGGACCTGGGTAGGAACCCTGGCATTGGCATAGGAGGGCATGAGGAGAACACGGCTTCCCAGAGAGCTATCAGGCCATGAGATGGCTAGGGAAAAGGGATATGAAATTCTGCCTTGTACACAGCTCCCACTGAAACATAACTAGGTCCTGGCCAGGTGAAGGCCATGGGAAGTACTTCTAGACTTTGTCCACTCAGATGTGAGTCTCCTTCACACCAGCCTTGCCCTGCCCCGCTTTTGAATGTCTCAAAGCTCCACCACTGACATCATCCAATGGAGACAAGGTTACTAGATCTCTAGAGGACACACAGACAGGGTGACCCTGACTGCCCCTGCCATTCTCACTGCTACCCATACCATCCTTTCCACCCAGAGTGGCGTCAAGGCCGGATTGCCAGAGTGGTGTTGCAGGATGAAGACATTACCACCAAGATAGAGGGTGACTGGAAGCGGCTTAACACGCTGATGCATTACCAGGTGAGGGCAGGCCTCCCTGTGGCCTTCATCCCCAAGAATATCCCCTTTTCTCTTTGTTAGAAGGCCTCCAAAGCCAACAGGTACTTTCCTCTCTCCATTTTCTTCTTCTGTGGGTCTGGAACAGTGACGCTCTGCTGTGACTGCCCAGTAGGTGTGGAAACATGGGCTCCCACAATAGATCTAACTGCCTGGACATTTTTCTCCTATGTGTTTCTACAGCTGTAGAAGGGACTATATAGTGCAAAATCCTATACCTGGACAGCTACAGAAAAGTGCCTTGTGCTCATTTTTCTGGCTTGTAGAAGAATAGGGCACAGACTTGTCTTCAGCCCCTAAGATTCGCAGTAGCTGGAAACATTACTTGCATGCTCTTTCTTTTTACTTGCATGGGGTACCTCAGTAGGTGTGTAGATTAGATTCAGCATAGAAATTGACAAGGAATATGTTTTTAATATTGGCAGACATGGATGAACAATCATAAGAATTCCAGCAGAAGAATATAAGCATCCACTCTACCCTGCATTAATCCCATGGGAACCACTCACAGCTTGGGGGTCTCTGTAAGATTAAGCACAGGTAGACAGCCTGGGATTTGGGAAAAGTACTGAGATAGGAGCTAGAAATGAGAGACACTGAGGAAAATTAAGCTAACTAGATGAAGTGCCTCAGGCTGTAAGACCCATGGGACTCTTTGATTAATAATATCCTCCTATGTGCCTGGCTTACAAAGAGAGTCCTGCAGAGGGACTGACTGGCTAGGCTGAGCTAGCAATGACTGGCCACTGGGAGACCCTGAAGCTGGCCAAGTGCCTCAAAGCACAGAAAAATCTGGGGGCACTGGGTACACCTCAGAGTACTCCTCCCTACACATCCTCTATGCTGCACCTAGATCTCAGCCCCAAGTAAGCAAAGCTGTGGAAATAAGAACTGGGGCTTTGAAGGTATATTCTAGCCCAGCACCCACTCTGGTGGTGGCTTTCTGTAATTTCTCCCAACCTTAAGCTCCTCATCCATTCATGGAAGCTAACACCTTTGACAAGAAAGGACATGAAGGTAGCTGGAAGAATTAGAGACAAATGCACAAACTCTAGATTTGCCCTTACATACAAGCAAGAGGAATCAAATCACTTCATGTTAATTTCATATATTAAACACACACACACACACACACACACACACACACACACACACACATATATATATATATATATATATATATACACAACCATGTTTACACAGTAAGTGCATACAGTACAACTGTAATGAACCAATTAGAGGTGAATGAGAAGGTACAAAAGGGAGCAAATCTGAACCACCAAATCTTTTGTTCCTGAAGGGCAAGCTTGGGGCCTTTGTTTTCATCCATCTCTGATACCTTAAAGATTATTCCTGGGTTACCCATCCTGTGACTTCCAATAAGAATAGAATATTCCTTTCTTAGTGTGCTCCTTTTACAAAACACTTCCAATTCCCTCATGTCATTTATTGTTCATATATTCATTCATTCCTCAAATATTTACTGAGTTTTACTGATTGCAAGGCACTTCCCACATTCTAGTTCTGAGTGACAGGGACAGCAGGGATTCTTCCTTCAAGAGATGATAAAGGTTGGTGTTATTATTCAAAATGGCAACATGAATATCAACACATGCTGAGTGATCACTGGGTACCAGGTACTTCACTCAGTCTGTATGTGTCTTAATTTTTTTTAATAATCACCACATCAGTGATTGCCAGATATGATTATTAGCCCCAGAGGCAAGTGAGACAATCAAGGCTCAGAGAGGCTAAGTCATTTCATTGCTAAGTGATGGCAGAACTGGGGTCAGATCCAGCCAGGTATTTTGAGCTTGGGCTTTTACTGCCTATTGACTTAAAGAGAGAAACAAAACAAAACATGGGTGGGGTGGGGAGACAGCCTTAGAGAGAGTGAGGGGGTAGAGACAGAGAAAGTGGGAGAAAGACAGAAACACAGAGTGAGACAGAGAGATGAGAGAAAGGTATCGTTAGCAACTAGTCTTGGAATTGGTCACATTAGTCACCTCGTGAATTTCCCTATAGATGGCAACAAACTATAAATAATGTTGATGTAGGTGGACCTTCTGTCTATGTGTTATTTTCATTGGTTAATAAAGAGACTGCCTTGGCCGTTTGATAGGCCAGAACATAGGTAGGCGGGGAAGACAGAACAGGATGCTAAGAGGAAGAAGGCAGTGAGGCAGACGCTATAGCTCTCCTCTCCAAGATGGACTCAGGTTAAGATCCTTCCTGGTAAGCCACCACCTTGTGGTGCTACACACATTAATAAAAATGGGTTAATCAAGATGTGAGAGTTAGCCAATAAGAGGCTACAGATAATGAGCCAGGCAGTGTTTAAAAGAATATAGTTTCCGTGTAGTTATTTTGGGTAAAGCTAGCCAGGCGGGCGGTGGGAAGCGGCCCGCCGCTCCTTCTACATAATGTCATCTGTCCTTGCTGGGAGTAGAAACTCCCACCCTTGCCAGGCTTTCAGAGTAGCATTTTGGGGTTGCAGGTGGCAAGAATTCTTGAGAGACAGGGGTAATGCCCCTTACATCTCCTCAATCATAGATTAGGTGCTGATAGTACAGATAGCTGGGAAATCTAGAACTTCTCCAACCAGGAGGTGAACACTGGTGCCTTCTGGGAATAATGGTGACTGCACAGGGCTCAGAACCCAGGAGGCTGACCCACTCCGCCCTCTTGCTACGCTTTCCTGGAGTCAAAGGTCTTTGGAGCCCCTGCAGAAGAAAATCATCTTAATTAACAAAGAGAGGGGTAAAAAACTGCCTGGGCTTCTGTAGATTTATAGGGAGGGTAAAATTAAACACCACTACTAAAGCTGGCTATCAGGGAATCTCGTTAGCACTAATGTTCATTTATAGTTTGACTTCTCAACATTTAATTCTTTTTTGGTGAGAAAGAAGAACTGACAATTTAAGACCCAGAAAGATGGTTTTATGGCTGGCGAAGCTATAAATCAAACTTACAAAGTTCATAAAAATTGTTAAAATAAAAAATGGTTTAATAGGAATGTTTTATGGCCCATAACATTATTATAGCTGTTTTATTCCCTCTGCGTTAGGGGTTTAATTGGATCACCACAATTCTGGGGATTCTCCGTTTTTATTAGATGGAGGGCAATCTTAAATCAAGATGGCCCCAAATGTCTTCTCTATGGCTCCTCATTCATCAGCCCTCACCACCACCAACTGCTGGGTGCTGGGCCTGGCATCTTCTCAGAGGACAGGGCAACGTGCCATCTTTCTCCAAGCTTCCCAAGGGCAGATGTCCTTTTGGTGAAAACTTCAAGGTGGCCAACACATAATACAATACAGGCAAGGAGGAAATTGGAGCCAAAAGGAAAGATGGGGCTCAGACCAATATGGTTTGTAATAAAATCCCAAATTAGGAAATATCATGAGGAGAATGTGTGCTCTGGCGATATACAGGTCTGAAGAAAAACACCAACTCCTCAGTATATTAATGACGGGACCCTGAAGCAGTGACTTAGCCCAACCCTGCTTCTGTTCTTTCATCTGTAAAATGGAAATAGTCATCCATAACGTGAAATGATGGGAATCTGAGTCTAACCCTTCTGTCCAACAGAAATAGAATGTTAGTTATGCCTGCCATTCTAAATTTTTCATTAGCTCCAATAAAAAAGCAGAAACAGGCTCTTGAAATGTTAACAATATACTTCATTTAATTCAACTTAAAAGAATTAGCCCAAATGCATAATCAATACAAGACTTATTAATGACATCATTTATATTCTTTCATTCATACTAACTTTCTGAAACCGTGTGTGTGTGTGTGTGTGTGTGTGTGTCTCAATTCAGATACCTAGTTGAGATTGGGTACATGTCAGGTAATCCGGGAACATAAAAAGCATTAATGGCTGTTGTAGTATTTCTGAACTTCTGCTAACCCCACACTCTCTAGAAGTACTTAACGTCTCAAAACACCTGAATTCTCCCATGTCTTTTTGTGCCCTTCTTAGGTGTCAGACAGGTCAGTGGTGGCTCTGGTACCCAAGCAGACCTCCTCCTACAACATCCCTGCCTCTGCCAGCATCTCCCGGACATCCATTAGCAGATATGGTAAGGAGTCAGAATGTAATTGGGAAACTCAAGATCTAGGCTTCTGGGTTACTCAGATACCACCTGTTCCTGTCCTTGTTAGGAAGCCCTTGTTGCTGCCATATGTAAACACAAAGGTACCAGGTCATCTGTCTCCTTCCTAAGGAGCCTTGAGGGTCATGTGTCTCCTTTGAGAAGAGGTAGCAGGTAGCACTACAAACTCTTTCTTTGCTGTCTATGCCAAGTAAGGAGTTGGAGTAGCCTAGTACAGGGATGTAGCCTGATTGGAAGTTCACCTATCTCACTTCATAACTGTGGTCCTGGTTGAATTAGTAATTGTAGCTCTTAATTTGGTACACAAAACTGGTTATTCTTTCATTTCTATTCCCAGTCTCCTTTGGGCAGCATGATTCATTCTTTCTTATTTTGTCTGTTTTGGTTCCGTGTACTTCAAAGGCACTCAACCACCCACCTGAAAGAAGCTTTAGGACTAAAGGCAGTGTACCAAAAAAGGGCCCAGAAATTTCCGAGATTTCAAAGGAAGTACCCATTAACTAAAAAGAGGATCATTACTGCCTAGACTTTCTAGAGTGCCTGTGTGTATATATCTAGCTGATATTTTATGTCATTATTGTTCATTGCTAGGAACATCAGAAGGGAGGCGACTCCCAAATTCTCATGGGTGTCTGAGCTCTTCAAATGTCTAAATCTTTCTAGAAATAGATTGGAGGCTCCTCCATCCAACCAAGGATTCCTAAAACTATTCATAAATTATGTAGTCCCAAGAGTCCTTTCAAAGTGAAGCATGTTTATTTTGAGAAGATGCAGCAATTGGGAGGGATTCCTGAAGGAGGCTTTGGGCAGGAGGTTGGCCTTCCTCACTCTGGCATCCCCTGCCCTCTTCCAGACTCTTCCTTCAGGTACACAGGCAGCCCAGACAGCCTCCGGTCCCGGGTCCCCATGATCACTCCAGACCTGGAGAGTGGTGTCAAGGTGTGGCATCTGGTGAAGAACCATGACCATGGTGACCAGAAGGAGGGTGACCGGGGCAGCAAAATGGTATCTGAGATCTACTTGACCCGGCTCCTAGCCACCAAGGTAACTTCTCCACTACCCAGGCCAAGCTATTCCCTACACTTTGGCACAGACACCCATGCTACCGATACATCCTGCCTACTCTTCTGCTGGCCTCCACTATCTCTGCCTTTTATTACAACTGTTTTCTAATCCAGTGGGAGAGAAAGTAGAAAGGCCCAGTTGGACCAGCAATCTAAGGAAAGACTGTCTCTCCTGACCCATTGCATCTCAGGCTAAAAGGAGATAAAGGCAGCATATTCTAGCTTTCCCAGGAGAGAACAAGCCAAGCCTTCAAGTATGTTTTACCTTAGAGATCAGCCTGGATTCTAAATGCTATCCCCACTGATCCCACTGCAATGCTGCAGGGACTCTAACACAGTTGCTTAAAGCTCTCAGACTTACTCCCAGAATGGGCCAGAACAACTCTATCAGACTCATGTCTCCATTTTTGCTTTGTTAAATATGCCCAGTATATCAATAAGAGATAATCAAAAGACATAAAAAAAAATCAGTAATTCTACTAGTCCCCAGAGTGTGTCAGGACCCAGGTCCAGACTTGTCACTGCCTCTAGAATTCATGAAGCCTGTGGATCAGGGCTGGACCTGAGTTCTCTTGAAGCTAAACTTGAAGCCTAAACTCCTGACACTAACACCTTAAAGCTGTTCATTCCTCCTTTAAGACAACGTCCACCCTCCAGACCCCTACAGGGGTCAGATTCCCTGACCCTCTGTACTCTGCTGCCAGCCTGGGCCCTCTCACTCGTTCTAGGAAATCCCATTTCAGAGCACTTCCTATCCTCCCATCAAATGCCCTCAGCCCATACCTTCAGGGCATGCTGCCACAGATTAAAAGAGAGATTCCTTCTATGGATTCCCAGACTTGTCAGCCTCTTCCAACTTCACAGTATCCCATCCAGTACCTACCTCACCCCTGTCCCACTCCTGTCCCACCCCTGTCCCTCCATCTGCACATTGCATTTCAGACAAATTTCCAAGATAGGATGGATCCAAGACATCATCCCGCATGCGTTCTGCTTCCCTCTAGTACCCACCCACAATTTCACTGCCCCCCTTACTCCCACAGGGCACCCTGCAGAAATTTGTGGACGACTTGTTTGAGACCTTGTTCAGCACTGTGCACCGGGGTAGCGCTCTCCCACTAGCCATCAAGTACATGTTTGATTTCCTGGATGAGCAGGCAGACAGACACAGTATCCACGACACAGATGTGCGACACACCTGGAAAAGCAACTGGTAACCCCAGGGGAGCTCAGTGGGGGTGCCACCTGGGGAGGCCCAGCACTCTGGTTGGGGGACAGCAGAGAATAGAGATGGGAGGTGACTGAGTCTCAGCTGGGGCTGGGTGATCTGAGGGTTCTGCAACACAGCACATGTAACACACACACATGCACACACACATGCACACACATACTGCAGAGTCAACACTGTCACCAAGGCTGCCAAGTTTTTACCCAAGCAGCATAGCTTTCAGGAAGCAACAGAAAGAATGTCTTGAAGACATGATTCTTGTTCAAGACACTTCCACATCCAAATTAGTGGTAGGAGAAGCAGCCCCTGATAGCCCCTAACATGAACCCCTCATCCCAGGTTTTTAGCCAGGACCACAGACCGTGCTAAGGACTAGCTTATAGACCAGACATGGCTTGTCCTAGAGCCAGTTTCAAAAGGCTTCCTCTAGGACTGAGCACAAAGGGGAAGGCATTTGGATTGGGCAGGAAGCCCATGCAGCTGTCTAGAGTCAGCAATCCCCAGAAAACAGAGCCGACACAGATGGACTCAGGCTGTTATTTGGAAATCAAAAGTCCTAGCAACCAGCAAAATACTCTGAAAGAGCCAATGGGGCCATGGAATAGACCTTCATTCTCTTGGTGTTGTGGCCACTGAACCCTCTTCATGTGCATTCTTTGGTCACAGCGGAGTGACATGGAGAGGTTCGTGGCAGTAAGTAAAGTTCGTGCAGGTCCGTGGCATCCCCTCAGCTTTGTAGCCCGGCACAGTACTGGGACAATCAGTTGAAGGCTGTTCCATTTTCTGTGCCTTCTGCTGAGGCTCAAGCAACAGTGATGTACCCTCTTCCCCCAATGTGATCGTGTGATAAAGCTGAGTCACATGGCTCACACTTCACATAGCAAAGGTTCAAGCAAAAGAGCTTAAACATGTCCAGCACTACCAGAGGAGGGCAGGACAGAAGAACTGTGCCAGTTCTGGCTGAGGCAGCTCCTCCTAGGTTTCAAGAAAGGATTGTAGGTTGAGGACAAGCAAAAATTACAAATACTTGGGAAGAGACCAACCCTGACATTCCCAACGCCTAGTGTTAGAAAGACCCTTGGGAAGTATGGAGGTGGTGAACTCAGCATAGTGAAAAGAAAAGAACAGGGAGACCCAAGGGCAATATCTTAGGCTGGAAGGTCATGCCCATGACAGAGTTCATGCCACACAGGCGTCAGAAGAGTCAAGGCTGGAACGTAGCTGGAAAAGACAGACTTTGGAAAGAGCCAAAATAGTAGCTCTAGAAGCTGTCCTGGTTTTGAGGGAGGGCAGTGTGCTCACTGCCTTATGACCTCAGGAACAGCAAAGACTATTCCCTCTGCCTTTAGATTCCAGAGCCTCAGAAGCAGTCTCCTAACTGCTGTTAGGTTCCTTTTGGGAAAAACTCAGGGCCACCGTGAACCATTCTCTCCTGGAATGCCAAAAACCATCTCCTTCCCTTCGCTCTGCCATGCCAAGATATGCAGAAAGCCCTGGAGGAGATCCCTGAAAGAAATCCCCCCCTTGAGAAACCTGTCCTCTGACCCAGGCCTAGGAAGTAGCTCAGTAGCCCACTGGATCCAGAGGGTAGGTCATGCTCCCACTGAGGCAGTGCTTGGGACTACTTGCCCATTTCCAAATGGCCATGAGCCATTTGAAAATGGCTCATGTGAAACACTCTAGGAGCTTGATGGTTTTGTCTGAAGCCCTGAGAAAATTGTGTTGCTCTCTATGGTTGACCTTCCCTGAATCACTGAGGCCTTGGACAAAGCCTGTCAAGGAGAAGCAGAGCCCAGACACACCCACCCCTCAGCTATTAGGGAACAGAGCTAATGCCCTGGTGTGATAAGACCAAAGTCTCTTTGCTTTCTTCTACAGCCAGGAACAGCATAAGCTGATCAACCAGCCCCTGCTGGGCCAGTTTCTGAGTTCATTCCCTTCTCTTTTAGAATGGAACATTCAACAGTAGGGGAAGAATATTAGTAAGGGGCAATGCCAAAGTATATCCCTCACGGTACTCTGCCTTTTCCCACAGCCTCCCTCTGCGTTTCTGGGTGAATGTCATCAAAAACCCCCAGTTTGTGTTTGACATCCACAAGGGCAGCATCACAGATGCTTGCCTCTCTGTGGTGGCCCAGACCTTCATGGACTCCTGTTCCACATCAGAGCACCGACTGGGCAAGGACTCCCCTTCCAATAAGTTGCTCTATGCCAAGGATATCCCCAGTTACAAGAACTGGGTAGAAAGGTCAGTAGTTCTTCTAAGATACACACTGTGGGCATCTAAGACACCTCTGAAGACCAGGACTGTTCATGACCACTGAAGACCAGGACCACATACCCCCTATATGGTGGGAAGACTTTGTGTCCTGGGAAGTCTGATAGTTATTGTCCTAATTAACATTTACTGAGCGTGTAGGAATTACTGTGATAAGGATTTTGTATGTTGTTTCACTGAAATGTCCAAATAGACAGTTGTAAAATAGCTGCTATAATAATCCCTGTTTTGCTAATGAGGGAATGGAGGCACAAAAGAAGCCATGTAATTTGCCCAGGTTCACCAGCTAGCAGATAGAAGAGCTGAGATGTGAACACAAGGAGTCTTGCCAAGATCTGGGCTCTTAACTACTCAGGTCACCATAGCTCTTAGCTGGCTGAAGTGTCCTTTAGAAACCTGGGCTGCACCTTAAACTCAAACTTCAGCCTGAGGCAGAGGCCACACTAGGGAAGAGATGGAAAGCAGAATGGGGACCCCTGGTTCTCCTGACTTGAGTCAGGGTGGGTGTTGGTAGATTTGCTGAACCCACATTATGGACCTGTCCTGTCCGTGGCAGATACTATGCAGATATTGCCAAGCTCCCAGCCATTAGTGACCAAGATATGAATGCCTACCTCGCGGAGCAGTCCCGCCTGCACGCCACAGAGTTCAATATGCTGAGCGCCCTCAACGAGATCTACTCCTATGTCAGCAAGTACAGTGAAGAGGTAAGACGGGGTCTCAAGTCAGAGACCAACTCACAGCTTGGTTGAGGCCTGAAACAACAGTGGGGGGTCACTTTTTAAAACCCACAATCCATAGCCATAGTCATTGAGCCCCAAGTTTCATCTTTTCTTTAGAAGACAACCCAACCTCTCCTGCTTCACTGAATTCCTCCCTGTACATTATCTTTGCTCACTCAATTATTATATAACAAATTTTTATTCTTTTTAAATAATGAATTGAATTATCCATTTATACTTGGGCAGATCCTGTCAGTCATTTTTCAGATAGACTGGTGATCATGACCTGAACAGAAGTTAACGGGTGACAAGCCATGCATTAGCCCTGAACCTAAAGAAAGAAGTAGCAAAATAATAGTAGCCTCACTTAAGTAGCTTTTATATATGCTTTAAGCACATCAGAACTCTATGTACATGCATATATTCCTGCATGTGTCTGTAGATGTGTGTTCTGCATGATGATTTTGTGGTATGCCACCTGTATAACAGTGGTCCCACCAACGTAAATGGAGCTGAAAAATTCCCGTGTGACCTCAGAGCCATCTGAACCTCAGAGCACGCATGAGCCTATGGCCACACTGTGTAAAGGAATCTACCAAGCTGTTGGTTATGCAGCTTACAAAACTAGGCACAGTCTGTGCTCTTAGAAGTAAGTAGTTGTTTAGCTAGTGCATAAACTGTGTTTACTATGCTACGCATTTATTGCTGTTTTAGAGCATGCTCCTACTTATAAAAGCAGATCCACACATTGTATATGTGTTCTCTTGTACTTGATTCAGTGCCCTGTGTGTGCGTTCTCTGGGCTGTTTCTTCCTGCTGACAGAATCATGTAAGGGCTCTTTGCTCAGAAAGTGTCCTGATGGTTAAATAAACATGACTATGCATAGATCTACTCATTTAATCATGCCATCTAGTTGACATTACAATCCTAAAGGCAGAATAGAAAGGCAGAGAGATAGGTGCTGGGTTGCTGACTCCAGAAAGTTGTGCCTTTGAAGCTGAGTCTTGAATCGTCTGCCTTTGTTTTGCCCCTCAGCTCATCGGGGCGCTAGAGCAGGATGAGCAGGCCCGGCGGCAACGGCTGGCCTACAAGGTGGAGCATCTCATCAATGCCATGTCCATCGAGAGCTGAAGGGAGGACCTCCTGTTCCTGAAAGAGGGACCCACACAAGCGATCACACTGGTGTCTCAAAAGGGAGGATAGGACGAGAGAGGGTCATCAGGCCCCAGAGCTGGCTGCCCACGGAAAGCTCATGAGGGGAAAGGGAAAGGCTCCGCTCTCAGTGCCAGCCATGTTTCGTCATAGCCGGTTCCTGCCAGAAGGACAGCAAACACCACCCATCATAGTGTGAGCTCAGGACAGCACGGGCAAGGAAGGTGCCCTTCAAGTGAGAGGCTTGAACCCGGTGGTTCCGCCTCTGTGACTGCTGCTTTGCATGAAAACTCATTTGATGTATATTGGGAAAAATAATGAGAACTTATTTAATTTTTTTAAGAAAAAGGGAAAAAACAGAAATAAAACAAAACATAAAGCCTCCCTGTCCAACCCGTTCAACTTTTGTTTAATCTGATTTCTGTCCTCTTCTCGGTAACATCTCTCCCTCCTTTTGTAACATCTCTTTCACAATGTCAGAAAATGCCTGAGAAATGCTGAAAGAAACCCGTCTGGAAATGTTCTCCTCTCCCTTGAACTGAAAGAAAAAGGAGGAGAGGGAGGAAGGAGCCCAAGTTTGTGCTAAACATTTGGCAAACAGGCCAGGAAGGCCTGGATCCTACCACAGCCAGAAGCGCCTGGGAACTGCAGGCCTTTGTGGTAATCGTGGAAGCGGATCATCTCCACCTGGTTAATAGGCAACTGCTGTCCATGCTGCACCCGTGGGTATCCTCACCTCCTAAGAGGAGGAAGGTACCAGCCGAGGACCCATCACCTGTGGGAACATCTTTCGTTGGTTTCATAAAATCCCAGACCTCCCTGAATGAGAGTCGGTCTCTGGTACTTTTCCTTTTTGGCTTCCCTAGAGTTGATATCAAAAATGGGAGAGGCCCACCTCTCCCAGACCAGCCACCTCCTCCCTGAGGACTCTGAGCAGAGCCCCATGTCAGCCTCTGTCATAAGACAGGCACACGGGGGCTCTACAGACCAGGCCTTCTCAGTCTGAGCTGAATGGGGAATATGGGTGTTTGACTTTGGATTTCACTCAACCATCTACCAGTTTACGGCAATTAAAAAGAAAACAAACTCAAATACTGTTTACAGTAAGCAATACTTGAAGAGTATAGGTTTAAGAAGCAGCAGTATTTATTATTATACTTTCTTTTCTCTTGTGCCTGGAGAGGGGAGGCCAACCTTCATTCATACCCAGAAGCTCCTGACCATCTGGGCACAGTGCATTTGCCTCAGTAGAAATGACTGTGGCATCCCATCATCTCTGCCATCTCTGTCTGCCATGGACCCATGGATGTGAAAGTGGATTGCTTCCTGTGAGGGCACCTGTCTGTCCCTCTGTCTCCTGATACTGAATGCCATAGATGGCCAGATTTCCTGAATATATCTTCCAAGCAGAGGCCAAGGCTCCATTCTTGGGCCCAGAGGCAAGATCTGTGGTTAGCAGGACAAGAAATTCAACTGGTTAGCCCTCAGGGAATTCTGTCCTCCTGCTTGATGTGATCCCAAGCAGCCAATTCCAACAGCTTTGCAAGTAGCACCTGTCTCAAGGTAGAAGGACAAGAGGAAGGCAAAGGGTTGGCACAGGGAAAGGCCGAAGAGCTCTCCCATTCTTGCCTTGTGCTTTTCGAGAGGTAAGGAATGCCAGGCTTATAGGGCTGGGAAATAAGCCAGCTACCCTGAGAGAGACCGGACCAGGGTTATTTCCTTCACAATTAACCCAGGCCTCAACTTATACCTCCAGTTAATTCCAGTTTCTGGAGATTCTGCTGACCAGATGTGACTCCCAGCACAAGGCAGGGAAGGAAACCAAGAAGGTGGCTTCCAGTCCATGTATATGTCTTCGGATGGCTGTCTCACGCATAGCAGATGCTGTCTGGGCTGTTCAGCATGCTTCTTGTCTGAATGTAGCAGACAAGGAAGAGAGAAAAGCATTCAGCAAAATACTCAGGAAATTTGCTGATTTTATGATGATTCACAACCAGCCATGCCAAGGGCACTTTGCTTCTGATAATCTACTCACGTTAAAAGTTTTTCAGGGTCATATTAATAGCCTGGAAAAAAAATACTAGTGACTGGCCTTCCACACTAAGCCAAAGTGTTTGCTCTTCACAGCACCCAAAGTTTATCATCTTAGAGCCTGTAATTTATGAAAATGAAAGAAGTGATGCCGTCAAAACAAGAATATGAACAGAAGACTGCACTACCCAGGACAAACTCCAGCCCACCTTGTTTTCCATTCCGGTTTGGTTAAAGGCTCCTGAGCAGCTGCTACTGCTCAGGCTGATGTCCAGCGTGCTATTTCATCAAGAAGTAAAAAGAACCAAAATGTTTGACATCTCTTTTCAATAGCACCCTAACCTTCCTCAGTGTGCCTACCTGGAATCTCCCAGCAGCCATTTATGGTACCTGCTCTCTGCCTCTGGTATGCTTCACTGAAGATGTTTGGGGAGAATGGGGAGAATGATGGGGGAGAGAGCAAATCAAAGAGTGCAGATGCAGGGAGCAGGGCCAGCCATGAAAGGTGGTTTAACCACTTTAATAAAGATTCCATGACTTAAACAACTTGGGCTGAGAAGAGAAGCGGCCAAAGGGCCCAGTTAAGGAAGAATTAAGAAGGAAAATTCAGCTGGAGACAGACCTGCCAAGAGGGTGAGTGGTTGCAGGGTCTTGTTTCCATTCTAGCTTTTACCTGTCCTACTGGCTCTTTACTTTGGTTCATGAGTAACTGATAGGGTCTATTCTCTAGGGAATGGAGAGGAGAGGGGATTGCTTGGTCACTCTTCTTGCTACTATACAACCTGAGGATATTTTGGCCTTTTGTTTAAAAAGAAAAAAAATATTAAAGCTACAACCCTTCCCCACAAGAAGCCATTTATCTTTGGGGGAGGCACGAAGTCTCTCCCAAGCCTACCTAGCTTTACTTTATTTCATTGATCAGCACAAAAGCCAATTCTCTAGGAAAGGAGCAGGACTGTAGAGGGCTTGGCAGGACAGAATTCTAGAGGACTGTATGGAGGAGTCCTTCAACCGGATCTGGCACTACCTCCTGCCTTCTGTGTGGGTCAGGCACTTCTGTGTCTGATGTTCTACCTCTGTGGTTTGACTCTCAAAACCACTTCTGATCCCCCCCTCTTTTTACAGAGTGCAACCATTCAAGTCATGGGCACACTGTGATCTCACAGAAGGAGGGAACTGTGTCCTGTGTTCATTCATATGGAGACGGTTCATAAGTAATAATAATCTGCCAGGTTCTTAGAGGTTCTGGAAAAGAGGGTGAATAAAACCAAAAAGGTCCTTCTTCCAGCAAATTCATCTTCTCCAAGCTGCTAGTTCTGCCACGAGTACAGCAGGATTGTTCTTCTCACCTGCCACAGAAGAAAGCACGAAGTGCATAGAAAATGAGGTGCTGTGAAGGAAAAAGACTGACTCCCACCCAGACACCTTACCTCATCCTGGGTCCAGGCCCCCTAGCAGTGAGATCTACCAACTTTTTAGTCAACGCAACTTTGTTGCTTAAGCTCCTGTCCTTCTTCAGTTCCATCAAAATGAGGGTAAAAATTAGTAGGTCAGGCCCCTGGTCCTCCTGACTGTGAGACAGAAGCAATGGTGGCTGTGCAAGAGTCTGCTACAAGTGGAGAAGGCCAGAAGCTCCTAGCCACCCAGTTGCAGATACTGCACAACTACCACATCTGAAATCTCACATGCTGCCTGGTAATACTAAGCCAGCAGCTTCTCTAAAAAGGGTTTCAACCACATTGTGTCGTGACTAAGAGTCCTTCAGGTTGGACACAGGCAGGGGAGACTTGGGACACAGAGGGATATGAACCTGAGGAAATGTAAGGTGGCTTCAGGGAGTCAGGGCATGGGGAAGATCTTATGATGGGAGGGGGCCTGGGAGAAGATGGTCAGGTCCTCCTGATGCCTTGTCTCAGAAGTGTTCTTGGAGAAGGCAATGGCATCATATTCATAACCCCACATCTCCTTTTCTTCTATCTTTTCTGCTCATTCCCTAGAGTGAAGATTAAGCATCTAATGCCCAGTGATGCTTATAATGAAGGGTAAAGTTTCTGTTGGCACTTTCTAACTAATCCAGGGAACATCCTGAGAGGTGATCAAGGCCAGTGCCTGTCAGACAGGCCTCAACCCAATAAGGAAACTAGAGATTCTCCTCCCCAGACTGAGCTGCCTCCTCCCCGCCTCCTTTCTGCCTAGGGCCCCAGTGAAGGAAGTGAGAAGCTTCTTCTAGAACTCAGTCAGTGTCATCATGTTGGCATCATTGGTCTCCATTTTGGTATTCAAGCATAAGGAAGTGTGGTCCCACCAAACAGGACCAAAATTCCTGAATGTATGGGAGAGAAAGGGACAAGCTCTTTGTCTAGGCACATGAAGGCCTTGAGCCCAGTTGCCTCTCCTCATCTCCTCCTACTCAGACCCCTCCCCATGACACACTGGAATCTGTATTATATCTATTTTTAAGAAAGTACAATGCTGGTTGTCTGGTTTTGTTGTTTTTACAGGTGTTACAAAATAATAATAAAATGAAGTATTTAAAATGTTCCAATAAAGCGGGGTTTTGTTATCTAATATATTATCATGTACCTATTGTAAATATGAAACTCCTATTTTGCAAGCCAAGGACACAATTTGTACTGTTGTTATATATAAATAAAGATTACTGAATTAAAAAACAAATCTCCTTAAATCTTCAAATAAACAGTTTTTTGGCCACATAGGTACAGAACAACTTTGGGACTATATAAGAAGCAGATATTCAGAAAGAGCAAATGACTTGTTCTAAGTTCATCTGAGAAAACTCCATGGAGTCAAAGCTATAAATGCCTAGTCTTCACTGTATACTTGGCTACACGGGCTGCACCGTCACACCAGTGGGTGAACACTGCCCCCTAGCCCCAGGACCTCAGAATACAGCTTGCTCTGGGGAAGCTGGGCTGCTGCAGGCTTCAGGGGTTGAGTCTCTTTTCCAGAGTTCTGAAAACAGATTCCCTAGTGTCCTAAAAGAACACTTCCTCGTGGATTAAGTGCTAGGGTGAAATGAGAATGAGAGACACTGGGATGATTCTGAGAGAGACTTTTAGGGCTTTGAGCTAGGTCACTGAGAAAGGTAGTGACCTTCATTTTTGCTTCAGAAATTAAAAGTGAACAAGTGGAAGATACCAGATGGTTAGTGCTTTAAGACCCAGCCCAGGGAAGGAATATGGAGATAGCCCTTGATTGGGGGTTAGGAATAGAGAAAAGAGAGCTCAGAAGCAGGAGAACTTCCACTGTTAGGGAATGAGGCTGAGGGGAAGAAATCTTTGGACTCCCTCTAAAGTGAGGGTGATATGTCCCCTCCCTTCTTTATATGCTTATTTTCATGTTTTTGTCCTGCAGTCTAATGGTGTTTGACATTTCTACCCTCTTACTGGTAAGACACATTAAATGAGAGCAACTCAAGAACCTGTTTCTAGCCCTTCTCATTAGACAACAGGACCAGGAGAATTTTCTGTGAGCAGAGTATCCCTGGACTTCTAACTTCAGTCTAGTAGGGACAACCAGTACACACAAAGGAACCTGGTACTCATGAAGCAGAATTTTGGAAATAAGAGCATGTTCGATATAGATATTTTTACATAATTATATATGGATATATATATGTACATATAATATATATATTTATATGTTATATGCTATATATATATGCACATATATATTATATGCTAGAGTTGTAGAAAAGTTAGTCAAAGGAAGAAAATAAGACAGAATTTTATCATGTGGCCCAGTCTGGTCTGGAAGCCATGATTCTTCTGCCTAGAATTCTTGAATACTTGGTTATAGGTATATACCACCACAACAGGTTCAAAGAAATAATTCTTGAGATTTTCTATCCAGTACTCAGCAACCCCTAATATTTTAGTATATTTGTATTCTCTATACATTAATCTCCCACCTCCTTCTCCATCTCTTCCAAAGTGGGAGAAGAGTAGAGTGCCAGGGCCTGGGTGGAAATAATGCACCGTGTTCAATAGTACAGTTTGTCTGGGGAGCATAGCCCCATTTTGCTAACATTAAGTCATCTTCTGCTTCCTTCTGGGTGCAAACGCAGAACAAAGTTTCTCTGCTCCACCATGGCTGTGAAGATGTGGCTATTTCTCTACAAAAGCAATAGCAAAGCCCTAGTAAGCTAACACTCTGTCAGATGAGGCAAGTAAGTAACTCTAGCTTCTGTTACTGCTGACCATAGCCTGGCTTTGCATCTCAATGAATGGAACTCTTGTTCAGCTGTGGTTGTAGTTTTCTCAGAGTGACTGCAATGTGTCCAAAGCTGGTGGGCTGCCATGAAGGTAGTTTGTCCAGTTGCCCTTAAAGGGACTCCTTGAGGGCAGTTTCTCATTCAAGGCTGCCAGGTATAAGTCAGGTCCCATAAAAGACTTCCTACTGACAAGTTTTAATCATTCACATTCAGCACCAAAAAAGTGTTTGCAATGAAGATTATGGAAAGCTTAGCACAGCAATCATAAAGAAATGGCAATCCTAAAGCATTTACATTACTTAGTATTTAACAATACTTCACAGTGTTAACTCCAGCCTCAGTGCCCCAAGATGACACAGATCCTCCTCACCTGTCTCAAAAGCATCTCAAAATGAGACAAAAAACGCAAAGCAAGCAGACAAATAAGCAAAAACAAGCAGGAAGGGTCAGAACTGGGGTGCCTCGACCACTAGCCCAGGTTCTCTCTCCTTCAAAGGAACAGTCTGTGAACAACTATCTGTGCGGTTCTCCTTCCCATGTCCCCCAAACCCAAATCTTCTCTTAAATCAAAATTTTCTTCCTTGGCATCTACAACTTTATGAGTATTATAGAAGACAGATAAGAACACAAACGACCGCAATATCAAAAAAACTCTGTGGAGTAAATTCATTAGGAGAGAACGACAATTTCTAGGCTGAATTCTTTTACTGAAGCCAGTTTTTTTCAAGTGTCCAGTTTAACAACTACTTAAATTATATATGCAATTTTCTGAGTACTTCACTTACTGTGTATCAACAATTCTAGATTACTAGGGAATGCCTCTTTAGCTATTACAATACACCATGGACTTTAAATGTAATAAAAAGATTGCCTAAAATGCCTCTATTCTTTGGACAGATCTGGCCATTTTTAAAAACTGTATTGTTAAAAATTAAGTGGAACCCGTAAGATGACTCAGCAGGTAAAAAAAAAAAAAAGCACTTGCCACACATTCCTCTGTCTTCTGATCTCCATGTGTGTATCTTGGCATAAACATGTGTATTTACACACATCATACACATACACACTGCCAGCAGTGAAAATAATAACAATAGAACAATTTAAAAGGAAATAGTCTCTCTCTCTCCCTGCCCCCAGACCAGATCCTTTGCTTTTGGTCTGCTCATACTCACTCAATACACCTCTCAATATGACTTTCATTTAAACTATGGATTGTTACCCTTTTCAGATGTCATGTACAGTCCATTAAAAATTTGAATGAGGAGAGTTATGTTAATAAATAAAGCTCTCTGAATACAAAGTAACTTCAAGTGAAGGAAAGGAAGCGTCAGTATAAGCAGCTCACAGTGATTAACCTGAGCAGAAGTGTGGTTGTGTGCACACAATTTATTGATCAAAATGATAGATAAATTTAGATTATAATCATTAGTATTCAATAAATGAGTTTTTTTTAATTCTGGCATTTTTGTCATTTTAGCCACTGTCTTGGACAGAAGTAACCAACTCTACAGGATTCTTTATTACACAATGTGTTTTTCCTCTTCCTTATTCCAGCCAGGCCTTTCCTTCTATTTTCACCATTGCCATACATGCAAGTACTCTCCCAACACACACTCAGCTGCGGCACTCATCAGGATAGACGTCTGCACACAATTGTCAGGAAAGAGGAAGAGGTGGCAGTGTTTCTGGGCGGTGAAATGACCTAGGCTGTGGTTCAGGTGAACGGCCTCAAATATCTAAACCTGACTTCACCAGATTCTACACCAAGGAGCGCTGGGGTTCATTTGAAGTGATAAATCCACAGATGAATCGTAGAGAAGGGACATGCCCAGGGCTCTAACCACAGGTGGCATAGAGGTTTGGAATTCAGATAATGGGGTTGAGACATGGACTCTGCCATGTAGGTGCTAGGTAGTAGTTTGTACACTTCCTACTCCCTACGAGGAGACCTTCTGTTATTAAATGCAATCAGTATTAACTCAAGTAGCAACAGTATAAATTAGAGGTGATGTACATAATATCCTATGGCAAGCCTGGCACCAAGCAAGCACTTAAGAAAAAGAGAGGTCTTTAGTTCCTAGTTGTTACCCTGTATCACCCTTGAAATACTTGGCCTCATGATCTTCCCTGGGGGACCATGAGCTTAGTGTTCTCTCACAGTAGCATATCTGGCTGAACTGAGCTAGGGAAGGGCAGAGCCAGCCTAAGAACATTCTGAACACCAATCTGGGAACCTGGCATTAAATGCTCGTCAGTTCCCTGGGTCATTAAAAGCATCTGACTGTAAGGGAGGAGT